AATATCCCTAGTACCATGACCCCTTCTAAACCCAGCCTGGACTTCTGGTAGTTCTCTGTTGATGTGCTGTTCCAGTCATTTTTGAATAATCTAGAAATTATCTTGAGCAATTCTACTCTGTACACATGAGGTCTCTATTAGTCCAGATGCCCTATGACCACCAACAAAAAGGAGAATTGTTATGTGACATCAACAACCTCTGTATGCAGATGACACAACCTTGTTCACTGAAAATGAGGAGGACCTGAAGCATCTACTGCAGAGTCAAGGATTGCATTCTTCAATACAGATTGAAACTAAATTAAAAAAAAAAAAGATTCTGATCACTGGGCCCATTGGCAGCACCATGATAGATGGTGAAGAGATTGAGATTGTTAACAATTTCAGCTTACTCAGGACCACAATCAACACTCTTGGAACCAGCAACCAAGAAATCAAAAGACAATGTGGATTAGGAAAGTCTGCTGACAGCGACCTCTCCAGAGTGCTGAAATGCAAAGATGTCAATCTAGAGACTAAGGTGCACCTGATCCAGGCCATGCATGATCCTTTCAATTACTTGCTGTGCTTCTGAGAGCTGGACAATGAATAAGGATGCCAGAAGAAGAATGGATGCCTTTGAGGTGTGGTGCTGGAAAAAGAGTATTGAATATACTATGAGAACATAGAGGTCCGTCCTAGAGAGGGTGAAACCAAGTTGCTCTTTGGAGGCAAAGATATTGAAGTTCCGTTTCACATACCTGGGTATATTTCCAGGAGGAACCAGTTTTTGGAGAAGTTAGATCATTCTTGGAAGGGTGGGGAGATAACTTAAGAGAGAAAGACCCTGAATGAGATGGATTGATACAGTGACTGGGGCAATAGGGTCAGATGTGTTGGAGACAGTGAGATTGGTTTTGGACAGGGCAGGGGTTCAGATCTATTGTACATAGATTTGCTATAGGTCACAGGTGGCACATAACAACAACAAACTTTACTTCCAGGCAGATCCTGTGTTTGTTGTTTTGTGCTGTGGACTTATAACTACCCTCTCCTTATTGGAGAGACTAGAACGGGCACCTAGGATTATCTTTTACAGGAACAGATCTCCAGGTCTTTTTTCCTTCAGGTCCACTAGTGGGCTTGAACTACTCACCTTTTAGTTATCCTATCTGTTAACCACTATGCTGACAGGGCTCCTTAAGTTTATTATTGAGCCACCATGATAATTCTACCAGGGTTCCTGTTCTGATACCCAGATATCTTAAAAATTATACTTTTTCTCTTTGTTCAAATTCCGTTTCTGTTTCACCTCTATCAAAAGTGTACCATACTTAACAGATAGGGAGTTCTGCTAGTTCAACCTTCCTAGGCCCTCGGTTCATCTCCTTCTAGATCTCTGCTGATAGAATTAAACGTATAGAACAGGGAACACAATGAATAAATTAGGTCTCAGACAAACTTTTAACTTTACAATTTACTGGTTAAGAAGTTGTTTTCGACAACTCTTATGTTGGATGTTCCAGGGAGATATGTAATAGCTTGTGTCATTGGGAGTCAAATGCCATAATGGCTATCCATGGTGGACAGTGTTTGGTGAAGCTCCCAGTTTAAGAGAAAAGTTTGTAATCAGGAAAGGCATCCTCTTCTTAAACCACATGCCTCTGAAAACTCTATGAACTTGGAAAAGACCATAGTTACAGAAAGGCTTCAGGTCTTTTGTTGAAAAGGTCGTTGTGAGTCATGCTCGACTCCACGGCAATAAACAACAACAACAAACAACATAATGGAAATGTCTCTATGAAAACAAGCATAGCAGCTTTGTACTGGAGCATTTCTCGCAGGCCCTGATCTGGGGCATGGGGTTTTCTCTACTTCCGGTCCCGTCCTCTGTTCGCTGGTTGCTAGGAGACATGATGTCACCGGAAGCGAGGACTGGGATAGGCTGAGGCAAAGGGAAGCCTCTCCTTCTCTGCAACCACGGCGCCGGGGCTGCCTCTCCAGCTGTTTGTAGGCCCTGGGGTGAGGGTCCTGGAAGGGCACACCGGCTGCCGGCCAGCCTGTCCACTCGTCCTCTCCGTCAGTGTCGACCGTGCCCTACCCTCAGGGCAGGCTGCTCGGTGGGCGGCTTCAGCGCGTCTGACTGTATTTCTGACTGACACAGTTCCCACCACCCGCGCTGCCCGCCACGTCCCCGTTCTCGGCCGAGGGCTCAGTGTGGAGGGTGACCTTTCCAAATCCAGAGCGATGACGGCTCCCTGCTCCCGGCTTGCCCGGCACTCTGGGCGCTGCCGGTTCCGGCTCGTGCGGTTCCCGCAGTCAAAGCCGCTGCTGCTAACGCTGCTGCTGTCGGTCGTGTGTCCGGCGCGCGGCTGGGAGAGCGGAGACCTGGAGTTGTTTGACTTGGTGGAGGAGGTGCAGCTCAACTTCTACCAGTTTCTTGGGGTGCAGCAGGTAAGCGGGGCGGCCGGACTGTCCCGGGGCTGCGCCGCGATCGGCGCCGCCTCGATCAGACGGGAGCGTGCTCGCGGAAAGGGGAGAGAGGGGCGCGCTGAGACCCGGTCTTCCCCGGGAGCCACGCTCGCCCTGACTTTTTCCTTCTTGTGGCTCGATGTCCTGCTGTGCGCTCCCGCGGCGCCGTGTCACCCTGGTTGCCAAAGGAATCACCCGCCCTTCCCGGTCGCTCATCACCCTTTCCCCTCTCAAGTTCCGGTTTCAGTGACCAGGGCTGGGCATATCTACTGCTACCTCTGGCGTTTTAGCAATACCTTTTCACCCAGTTTTGTGGATCTCAGAAGGAAGAAAGATGTGGATGTACACTTTTCCCTTTCCTGCATTCTTGAATCTAGGAAAAGGTAGCAGTGCATCGAGCTACAATTTTATCTCCCTGACTCGACGCCTAACCGCAAAAATATTCATATTTAACTACTTTTTTCCCTCTTCTTTCTGGAGAAAATAGGAATGCATTTTGGCTAGTATCCGTTTTGCAGTTTTTCTTGCACTGTTGTTTGCAATCTTTCTGGCCTGTGTGCAATACACTTTGGAAAGTCAGAGGAACTTGAAGCTGCAGTTTGATCCTGGAATTCACATGAACAATTGCTAACTTTTCTGATCAGTAGAGGTACTTGGTGGTGTTTTAGGAAGAGTAGCACAACCAGTAGGAACGGGATCATTCTTTCCCCTTTTATTTTCACTTTTACTATTGGTAGGGGAGGTGGATTTAGATAAACGGTTTCTATCTGAAAGCTAATGCCAAGGCAGAGGCGACTTTCATTGATTTTATGTTTATGGAGTGAAAGGCCTAGCATTTCTCAGGTTCTGTTTTTATAGCATGCTTTGAATAGTTACGAGTAAAAAATAAGTTTAACAGTTTTCAGTGCAGTCACACTTCACAAGCTTAGGTATGAAATGTACATCTACCACCCCCTGCCTCTGGTTTTCATAAATGTGCATGCTTTGGAAGGCTTTAAATCACAGAAGAGATTGTCTATCCTTTTTCCTGGGCGCTGCTGTTATGTATATGAACCATCAGTGAGGTACCACTTTCGGCAACACCATATGGATTACAACACAAGGTATATGCCTTAAGAACTATTAAATTTGTTGCGCTGCCAACCTAAAAGCTTCAACTCCACGTGCTGCTTTGCAGAAGAAAGATGAACAGTCTCCTCCCAGGCAGTTTACAGCCTCTAAACACCCACTGGAAGATCAGCTATGTGTCACTTCCTACTTGATAACATGTAACAACAGACTGATGTTTAATTTTTCACATTCAGTTTTCATTCTATGTTTTGAATATAAAATTGGTTTGGCACAGGATAACAGTTTTGAATTTAGAAAAATTGTAAAATAGAAAAAAAAGCATTTCACATTTTAAATTCCAATGTGCATGTTGTTGTTGATATGTGCCGTCGAGTCGCCTGCGACTCATAGCGACCCTTTGTACAACAACCCTAAATCCTGCTCTGTCCTGTGCCAGTCTCACTGTCTCTGACACACCCACCTTCAGTGTTCTAGTCACTGAATCAATCCACCCCATAAAGGGTCTTCCTCCGTCTTCTGTGCCTCCAACCTCCCAAGCATGATGTCCCTCAACAATGACTTGTCCCTATTTGCAGTATGTCCAAAGTATGTCAGAGCTTCAGAATCCTTGCCTCCAAGGAGCAGCCCGATAAAATCCTCTTCAGGATGAACCTGTGTGTTTTCTTAGAAATCCACGGTATGTATATTCAGTACTCTTCTCCAGTACCACAGCTCAAAGGCATCAATTCTCCTATCCTCCCTGTTCATTGACCAGCTCTCTGATGCATAGCAAGTGATTGCAAAGACCATGGCCTGTATCCAGTGCACCGTAGTCTCCAGAGTAACACCATTGCTGTTCTTTACTCTGGAGAGGTCCCTAACAGCAGACTTTCCCCATTATAATATGTCTTTTAATTTCCTGGCTGCTGGTGCCAAGAGTGTTGACTGTGGAGCCAAGCAAACTAAAGCTGTTTACAATCTCAGTCTCTTCACCATCCATCCTAATGCTGCCAGTTGGCCTAGTGGTGAGAATCTTTGTCTTCTTGATATTGAACCTCAATCCATATTGAAGGCTGCAGTCCTTGACTTTCTGTAGCAAGCGCTTCAGGTCCTCTTCAATTTCAGCAAGCAGGGTTGTGTCATCTGCATAACGCAGATTGTTGATGAATCTCCCACCAATCCTGATAACACACTTCTCCTCATAGAGTCCAGCTTCTCGCGGGTTTTCAGAGGCAGTTAATCACATGGGAGGAGGTTGCCCCATCCTTCTCCCACAGAGCAGCAGAGCAGCTGGTATCCTCGAGCCATGTGCCTTCAGGATTGCAGTGCAGCTTTTTGCCAGTAGGCCACCAGAGCTCTCTATCATATAATAAGTGTAAAAACAATTTGCAAAGCTGTGTAACTTTTAAGAATGCCTTTAGTTGTGGCAATAATTATTCCAGTTAATCCCTGATTAAATCCTGTAGCCAGAGAGAATTGTATACATAACCTTCTCAAAGGTCTTTAAGATACTTTCCAGACATTCTGGAAAATTAAGCCCTTTTAAAGGAATACAGAACAAAAAAAAAATAATCTAAGTAAATGGGCCTAAAGTAGTTTACATTTTGATTATGGAATCTAGCTGTGCATATGAACTCTCACAGAATTTTCCTTTATAATTTCATGCATCATAATTTGCAGAGTTAATTAGACAAGATGGAAAACCAGAACATTTAACTGTATGGCTAATGAATAAAAAATAATGGAGCATAAATGAATAAGAAATATCAATGTTGAGAGAATGAAAGATTCAGGGAAAAATGTTTTAATCTCTATGTCTTTATATAATTGGAAAGAACTCTAATAGGAGGCTAGATTCTAGGAGAAGTAGAGAAATTGCTTATATAAAGATTTTTACAACTGGATGAAATATGTTTACAGCATTGAAGTCTATGGGGGAGAGAATAGTCTAAAAGTATTATATCGTAGGGCATTATTTTTATCGTAGGAGTACGCA